CTCAACCATCAATCGGCGTTCCTTTGGAAGAATTGGAAAGAGCAATCACAGTACTCCCTCTCAGAGGTCGAGTCCAAGTTTGAAATATATCTCGCTTGTATCTCTACTTGTTAAATTTCAAGAGTTTTGAGTCAAATTTCACTTACATTACCATCGAACTTGTACCAATTACATTCGTTCATGATTTTAGCCATCAAATACTATTTTGTGTATGAAAAAGATGAGTTCACACATTAGTTGATACATAAATTTATATACACTACCAATGAATCAGTAAAGTCTGACTTTTCCAGATTTCCTTTGTATCATCATTACATTACATGAAAGTTTCATGAAGAATCAGTCCCGTGACCATGTCCGTGTCCGCGTAAACTGTAAAAGGCCGATTTCGACCAGTCCTTACATATAAAAACATATCTCACTTCTTTCATGTTTCACATATTCTCACACATTTTGATTTTTTTCTTACAGAAGACGACGAGTAGCTTCACCCAAAAAGGAAGAACAAGTATCAGCAATGGAGTTTTTCCAGAAAGCAAAAGTTATTCGTATGCATAACAGCCACAACAAGTATCTAACTGCAGAAGACGACGAAGAATCAGTGACTCAAGACCGAAACGGTTCTTCCAAAAACGCTCGTTGGTTCGTCGAACCGGTTCGCGGTTCCTTTCACGTAATCCGTCTTAAAAGCTGTTACGGTAAATACCTAACCGCTTCCAACGAACCGTTCTTACTCGGAGCCACGGGGAAGAAAGTGATCCAGTTAAAACAGAGCCGACTCGACTCGTCTGTTGAATGGGAACCTGTAAGAGAAGGATCTAAAATTAAGCTTAGGACACGTGACGGTCGCTATCTCCGAGCTAACGGTGGTCTTCCTCCGTGGAGAAACTCTGTTACTCACGACAATCCTCATTTGTTGGCTACTCTGGATATGATCTCTTGGGAAGTTGATGTTGTCGAGATCTTAATCGATCCCACGGCGGATTCACCGGAGCCGAAGACTCCTCCGCCGCATAGAAGACCGTCGAATTCTTCGTTGTCGGTTTCTCATTCCAGGACTCCGTCTTCTTCTTCTCTTTCAGACAGATCTGATCTAGATGTGAGTAAATTACGAATACACCCTTCTAGTTTGTTCGAAATTACGATTTTAACCTTTTTGTTTTGTTTTTGACCAGTCGTCAGTTGAGTCTCCACCGAAATCTGATGGGAGGACGATATATTACCGTGTTGCTGACGAAGAGGGACACGTGGAGGACGAATCGACCGTTGAATATGCTTTCACGTTTAAAGGAAACAGTGTGGCGGAATTGATACAGACACTGCGTGAAGAAACTTGTTTGGAGGATGCTGTGGTCTGCACTCGCAGTCCTTTAAACGGCAAGCTGTTTCCTCTTCGTTTGCAGCTTCCTCCTAATAATGGAACACTGCATGTCGTTTTACTACCTTCAAGCGCAAGCCACTAGAGACGTGAGTATTCTTTTCATTTTTATTGCTTTTATTATCTGCTGCAAGATATGTTACAACTTACAAGTTGTTTGTTTTTTTGTAAATAAGCGATTTCTTTTGTAAACAAACAATTTGGTGTTCATTTGTGTGACTGTTTGACATAAGCCAAAATATTGTTGTTTTTCTTATAAAACATAATCTTTTTGTGAACGCATAGTCTATTTTAGTAGTCTAACCTCCTATTGTGCCAAGCTAAGCTAAGGAAGAACTAAAAGTTTATGGGGAGGCATTGGCCAAATTATTAATTTAAATAAGTCCATCAATTTTGGGTCAAATTTTAACGAGGACATGCAGCTCAAGATAAAAGATAATGGGTATATTTAGTGAAGGAGGCGAGAGTTGTGACTTATCTAAGACAAGATTACATTAATGTTTTAATGGATCCGAAAAGGACTTGATGATATAGTCCGGCTTCAACCAACATTGCTCTAAAAGTTTACTGGCTCGTGTCATTGGGGACCTTCTTTTACTTGGAGGAATGTCATTTATGGTCGATATTTACCGAAGAAATGGCTAAAACAAATTTGGTTTCATGTTAATGCTTGAGAGTATGGATTGATCCATGGTCGACCTTAACCAGTGGTAGGACTAAAACAAATTCTCTGGTGCCGAAAAGAGATTTGATGTGTATGCGTAAGGAATCCGTTTTACTAGTCTGTTTTGAAAGAAAAATCCAATGTTTTTTCAGGTATTCTTTGTATACTCAAATGTTGGTTTATATCACAAAACTTGCTCAAAAGTATATCATCTAAACTCATATTGACATATGCATTTTCAACCTATTAATTTCATAAAATCATATCTGATAATCAACAACAAAGTTATACAAAAAACAAAATGACAAAAGTTACAAAAACTGATCGAGGGTTCAAATACAAAGTTCAAGAAAAATAGTCAAGTGGTAACCTTCGCCATGTAATACATGTTATTCATCTAAAACATTCGACAAAAATACAAAATTCTTCACTGTAGGAGTCGAAACTAACACAATTAGATTTGTAAGGGTTTCGAGAGGAAGCAGAGATTTCTATGTTAAGCTACGAAAGAAACGATGAGCAAAGAGAAACGTTTGTTACTGTTGTGTATGCTTTTGTGAACAAAGTTGCGGATACCTTTTCAAGGGTTTTTACATCAACTATATATAACGTTCCTAAGTCAGCTAGGTTTCTTAAGTCTTCGCGGATTCCCTCTTCGCCTATGTCGGTTTCGCCGAAGTGGGCTTCGTGACTGTACTGGGCTTACTGTCTTAACTAGTCCGGAGGCGAAGCCCAACCCAGTTGATTGTCACCGCCATTTCGTGGGTGTCGAGAGATCATCGACTCGAGTCCTCTTCGTGCCGCCGTAGA